GGAAGGAAGGAAGGAAGGAAGGAAGGAAGGAAGGAAGGAAGGAAGGAAGGAAGGAAGGAAGGAAGGAAGGAAGGTAGGTAGGTAGGTAGGTAGGTAGGTAGGTAGGTAGGTAGGTAGGTAGGTAGGTAGGTAGGTAGGTAGGTAGGTAGGTAGGTAGGTAGGTAGGTAGGTAGGTAGGTAGGTAGGTAGGTAGGTAGGTAGGTAGGTAGGTAGGTAGGTAGGTAGGTAGGTAGGTAGGTAGGTAGGTAGGTAGGTAGGTAGGTAGGTAGGTAGGTAGGTAGGTAGGTAGGTAGGTAGGTAGGTAGGTAGGTAGGTAGGTAGGTAGGTAGGTAGGTAGGTAGGTAGGTAGGTAGGTAGGTAGGTAAAAATAGGTCAAAAAAAGCAAGACAAAGAAGCATAAGACCATGGAGGTTCATAGGTAAGCAGAGGTCTTTGGACCAGTAAAGTAATTTCTAGGTGACATAGTCAATATTTTAAAGTAAGATAGATAAAATAAACATAGCAGCCTCTATGGGTTCTCCCCTTTGGAGATTACTCGCTTCTGCTAGGAGACCATTTGACTCTGAACACAAAGGAACATATTTGCAAAGGAAATTATGTAGATATAGTTGACCTGTTGAATCAACAGGTGGATGCTAAGACTTTAGAGAGAGAGAATGAGCCCACATCCAGGGCTTTGGCTTCAAATGATGACACCAGCCTGACCAGCTCAGGGTGAGAGGTTTGATAGAGGACGTCTTATCTGGAAAGCAGACCAAGCCAATATTCCTTGTTGGGCAGGAAAGATGGTGGAACCCTGCCTGCTTTGTTTGGAATTCGATTCAAAGGGATCATGCTCCAAGAAGGTGTGTTGTTGCTGGAATGAATGCTGCATATGTGGAGGGTATCATGCCAGTACAAGATGTTTTAGAGGTCGGAAGCAGAAATCAGGCAAGAAGGCTGCAATTTGAGGCACAAAGCCAGATGGGTTCTAGAGGGACCAGCTCCAAAGGAGAAATGGAAAACATTTCATAATTCTAAATTACAGCTGGTCCATGAAGAACAAAAAATCACTTCTGTGTACTCTCCACTTTGAAAACCGTGGTAAGGGTTGCCCTCGGTTGGAATTGATCTGAGCTCACACAATACATACAAATATAAATGAAGAAGCAAGATTTAGAGAGTCTCACTGTATGCTAATGTATTAATCAAAATATTGAGAAAAATGTATAGATCTCACCTGCCAAGACTGAAGATGCTGAAGGAAAACATCTGGATTCTCAACCATGGTTTTGCGTCTCGATCTGGATGAATAGACGGCATGCAAAGCATGTGCCAGGGCATAGATGGCATTGTAGATACTAGAGCTGTGTCCAGTCAAGTGCGTGTCAAAAACAGGCCCCGGAAGACCAGCCAGTTTCTCCTCTCCGGTACATTTATCACTGTCTGGAACCGTTTCTCCAAATTCGCAGTCAAAGGCTTGCTCCCAGAAATCTTTCATGAAACCATCTCTTTCGTTCCAGCCAGGTTTGACATGCTGAACAAATTTTCCAAACTCCAAATGGACATTTCTGTGAATCATAAAGGCAATTGCTCCTTCAAACATCTGGAGATCCCAAGGCCTTTGTGGTCCGGGTAATACAAAATCAATCTGAGTTGTGGTAATCCACACTTTTCTGTATATCCAATACGCAGTATATTCAGGATCTTCTATAAATATAATTGTTCTTAGCCATGCTATTGACACAGACTCTCCATAGATAATGCATGCCATAGCTTTTTGATTAGTTAAAGGTTCATAAAGTTTCAGTAGGACTGTAATAATGTTTTCATCCAAGTTACCCAAATTAGGTTGTGGTGGAATTCTTTTTAAGAAGGCTGAACAGATTCCATTTTGAGAAAAAAGTGTCTCCATCAACTGCACAAAACGCTCCCCACTCTCATCATCTGCCACAAACATCCCAACCCATATCCATCGGAAATGCTGTAGCAACCGGATGATCCCCATGTATTGACGGTCTTCAGTGGGGACCATGTGGTAAAAGAAAGGATGCTGAGATATATGACTCCCCTCTGAAGCCAAAGAGCCGTATGTGAACTGTAAGACACCAAAAAAGACATTGTCATGATAATTTGGAATTTCAGAAATTTGAAAAGACGATATTTATTCCAACATTTCCTACTTTTTTGAAAAATCTGTTTTATTTCTACACCTCTGTAATCAAAATAAAAGAAAGAAAAGGGATAGACAAAAGTGTGCTATCCTAAATATATCTGCATCTTATCCTACCTGAGGAATTTTGTAGAGACCTAAGATGTCAGCCATGAGAAAGGAGGTTTTGGAACCCAGTCCCCCAATGACCGCTTGGAGATTTTTCTGTCCATCGCGCTCGTAATTGGGAACAAATCTCTGCCTTTTGAAGAGAAGGTTGAGAGTGGTCCGATAGGTCAGCCTTGCATTAGAATAGCTGTCGCAGATGTGGAAGCCAAGGGGGACGTTGGGCAAGATTTTTGGATTTCTGTTGATCTCATTGATGGCAAAGGCCATGGCCAAGGCATGCTGGTAGAATTTTGGCACCATGCTGTCAAGACAAATACTTTAATATTGCATCAACATTTCTACAGTCTACAAACTTGCAATTTTATTTAACTGTACATTCCTTCCTCCATTCATAAGACAAACTGTTGCCTATCTAGTTAGATCTCAGGCTATTGAGTACAGTGGTGCTGAATCCTGCCTATGCCATTATACAGTCGGAGGTTCAGTAGTCCTAATCTGCCCTAAGGCTTTCGGCTGGGTTTAAACATGGTTCCTTCTCTCAATATTCTCTGTGTGGATTTAGTTTAAAGATTAATTGAATCTGGCAAATGGGAAGCACAGCAATCTAAGTCTTCTTGAAGACTTCTCTGTGCAAGGTGTTTTTTCACAATCATTTCTGTCCTACAAGAAAACCATAGACCTCTGTAGAATTATTATGATTTTGTGCAAAATCACATAATCCCTGGACCAAATCTGATAGCATTTTGCAGAATTTGCAAGTCTTCTCAAAAAATTATATGTAGAAGCAAAAGGAAGGAAGGAGGGTGGGGGAGTTAGGAGGGACAGAGCGAAGGAAGGAAGGAAGGAAGGAAGGAAGGAAGGAAGGAAGGAGATGATGGGTGGAAGGAAAGGAAGGAAGGAAGGAAGGAAGGAAGGAAGGAAGGAAGGAAGGAAGGAAGGAAGGAAGGAAATGAGGGGGGAAAGTCAAAGGCCATCCTCTTTTTCTCGCTGAGGTACATGTAATCCTGCTACTGCAAGACTTGACAGTGTGGTATTTGGCAATTTATAAAGAATGAGAAGGGTTTCAAGCATTCTACTCATCTCTACTGCACTCCTAGAGTTGCATCAAATCTCTCCATTACTATTTTTGTCTAAACTCTTCAGTGTGTATGGCTCCTTTTCTTCCTTTCCTTTTTTCTTGCCTGACTCATCTTTGGTTTGTATAGTGGAACGAAGTGCTCTCTGAACCTACAGCAGCTCCAGTTCTGCCCATAATTCCACCTTGGTGACATTGGAGTTTCTACTCCGGAATGGGAGTGGCTATAATGATTTCCTACCTTCCAGTCATTGACTGCAAAAGCAGAACTTCAATCCTTAAATCATGACTCTAACCTCGAAATGCTTTGAGCACAACATCCATTGGGTGCCAGAATATCTGTATAACAGCTTTCTAAATATCCTTTGTGGGGGGAATTAACACATATAAAAGGAAGGAAGGAAGGAAGGAAGGAAATATCCTAAAATCGGAACTCAGACCTCAAAAAGGCTTTGAATGCAGCATCTGTTGGGTGCTATACTACTGGATATCTGTATAGTAGCTTTCTCAGCACTCTTGGTAAAAAAAAATCTACATCCCAGTGTCAACTTCCTTTCACGTAATGTTTTGATTTTTAAGAATCTGTTCTACAATATTAACACTTTCTGCCCAGTGTCTGTTTATCTCTGTATGGTTCAATGCAGTATCCATAGACTTTCCCATGAACAGACCGATAATGAAGAATTAGTGCTGAGGGTCTCCTTTCAAAAACTTCATCCAGGGCACAGTAAGAGGGTCAGTAAATGAGACTGTCTGCATGCTCAGGAAAAAAAAGAGGTAGATGAATTTATTTTACAGCACAAAAAGTCATCCATTTAAAATAGCGAAAGGAAACCAAGCATTTTCCCCACCAAACGGAAGAGAAAAATCCAATACAGCATTAAAGAACACAGAGAAATATAATTTGAAGGTGGTGAAGTGTACATTATATGGAAGGAAACAAAAGGTATGGAAAAAACTTGAAGGAAAAAAGAGAGAGCTGAAAATCTGCAAATAAAGGTGGTAAGAAAAGGGGTGTGGTTTTGTTTTTTTGAAATGCATAATCACATTGATGGCATGCTGTTCCAGACAGGTAAGAAAATTGCTAAGTGGGAAATCTTATTACTGAATAATTATAAACAGACTATTACATTCTTCAGCACATAGGAATATCAATCCTAATGGGTGTTTTCACATAAGCAAGATAAATAATGAAAAGTATTTCGTTCCCATTTCTTTTTCAGCCATTTTTCAAGCTAGAGACAGAATGTCACGTTTTGTTTTCCTTCCCCCCCCCTTGAAGTGCTGGATTAAAAACGTTCATTTTCTTTACACTGATGAATCTAATCAGTGACACTGTTAAATGAACACATATTTCTACCCCATGGGCTTCCCTCAACAACCTACTTTAAAAAATATGTATATCGAAATTCTTTGACCATTACCAGCGTCATATAATTGCCATTTTTTGTGCTTTTGCCTAGATTACAAATGCGAAGGAAGTGAAGAGGAAGAAATACTTACTTTACAACATCAAAAAGGTTCCGGGAAGGTGGTTCCTCAAAAGAAATTTCATGGAAAGCATAAATGATCTGAGTAAGAATCCCCCCAGTGAGGAGGACGCCAGGCTGGTACCACTCATGAGGAACGGGGAGGACATCTTTCACAGAACAACTCATAGTCACCCCTTCTTTGCACACAGAAGAGTGGAAACTGAGAGAATTGCGAACCTTGAACAGTATCTGAGATGAACACTGATGAAAAATACACAGAAATGGAATCAACAGAGCCCTCTCAGCATCTTCCAACCCCCAATAGTCCCTGCATCAATTCTGCAGGAGGATTTTTATATTCTTTTTCTGACTTGCTTATTCATTCACTTCTAAAACACCCTGGAAATCCTCTCGTGATTTAGTCTGGTGAACAAATTATAATCATTGTAATAATCACTAAGAGAAGCAAGTACATCTTCCACCTTTAGAATCTAAAAAGTTGGTCACTTGGGAATAAAAACGGTTAGATATTTAAAGTTGTTTCGACATTCCAACAGGATAAAAAGTTGTACATCTGTTGCAGACTGCCACGATACGCAGCCACCAATTAAAAGTATTTGCCTGAGAGGAAGCCATTGTGTTGATTCGGTAGGTAAAGCCGTCTTAGATAGTAATGAAATGGCTGTCATTTTCTGTGAAAATCCCAGAGGCAGAAGTTTATGTATGTCTCGCAAACTTTTACTGTCTATCTATTAATCTATCAGTCTTTTTTTTGGGGGGGGAGTGGCTCTTCTACTTCCTAATCTCAGGCAGTAGAAGAGATGGATTTCCCAAACGAAGTTTTGTGGCACATCTGAGAACACGTGCGGCTGAGGCAAAATCAGAGTGGTCATAATTGACCAGATAGGCGGGATATTAAATAAATAAATAAACAAAATCCAAACAAAGAATCATAGTGTCTTTAAGACGATTACTATCATGACACAATTGTTTCAAGGTAAGCTTTTGAAGTTGTGTGGCACATCTGAAAAATCGCGCAGCTGAGGTAAAATCAAAATCCAAACAAAGAATCATAGTAACTTTAAGACGATTACTATCATGACACAATTGTTTCAGGGTTATTTTCCATTCCTTCAGACAAAAATGTGAGGTTGTGGCCCACAAGGAGTGAAGGAACTGTGCAAACATCATCTACATTTGGACAACTCCTCAAAGTGACCTGTCCTTTCTTGTTAAGCAGGTGGGGCTCTCTGGTTATCAGACCCATCTCCATCCCTCTTACTATGTGGAGCTGCATTCCGATGGGTCCAGGGTTGAGATGTGACTTGAGTTGAACAACTGGAGCTGAACCTCAGGGCACTGAACTCTAGAGGTGAAGTGCCTGAGGAATGTTCGGAGAGCAAAAACCTTCTGTACCTATTCACTTTCCTTTCCTTTCCTTTCCTTTTTTTGGGAAAACATATAGCAGATTCATTGCTGTTCTGAAATCAGAGACACCCACGATCCCATGTCTAATTTCTACTCATTAACTGTATCAAAGAAACGATAAAAAGTGCAAGAGAAAAACAAGAATTCAATCAGAAAATTTTGTGCTGGATTTTCCATTCTCAGTTGTTTGTTTGTTTTCTCTGCCACCACACTTTATAACACCAGCGAACCCAACCCCAAACACCACCTTCTTGATACTTCTGTATATAAAGTTATGAATTTAATAGCTTCCTAAAAGTTAGAAGGAACAGAGCGTGGCATGCCCCAAATGGATGGTGATTTCATGGAGTGCGGGGGCCACCACCAAGAATGCCTAATTTCTTGTTGTTATCTTTTTCATCTTAATTTGTCACAACACTCAATGCTGTGGTTTGAGAGGACCATGTAAATGGCAAGCTCTTTTCTAGGGGAGATGTTCTGATAGATAGATACTGAGGTCCTAAATCATTTTAGGGCTTTCTAGGTCAGTACCAGGGAAAATTCTCATCATCATCATCTTGGGATTGCAGAGTTTTGAGGCATCGTGGATATCATCAGGACCAGCCCCTGTTAAAGAGGCGCAGTAGGGAATTGAACCCCTCACTTCCAGTTCCACAGCCGGAGAATAAAACCACTGAGCTAGACAGCATTTCTATGAGGCCCCTACATTGCATCAGAGGGCAAAAGGTGTAAGCAAGGATAACATGAGGCCATCCACAGTTGCAATTAATTTGAAGATTTATTTCAATCAAAGCGAGTAAGTAGGGAAAAAGATTCACAAAATGAAGTGACAATATAAAAGAGGTCCTAGGAAAATCAATGAATTTCTAAGACAAGACAATGCAGTGATGAAATGAAAACTTCAAAGCAGAACAACCTGTATTAAAGTTTCAGACGAAATTATGATTATGCAACATGAGCCAAAGTTAGCCCTTTTTAAAACACTATATTTACCCTAAACTTTAACCAGCCCTCCAGTTGAAGCTCATGGTGTTCCAGCTGTTGGACCTAAACAGTGAGGAAGGAAGACATATCGCTACCTATTCTAAGGATCAGATTCCTGCAGAGTTCTGTGTTGGTGGATGACAGGCTGGGAGAACAAACTGCATTGTACTACTTTTCTTTATTCCCAAAAAGTAAACCTTCCCCTTGTCCCATGTCATCACATCCGGCCACACGGGAGCCATTCAAAGCATCTGACCATGTAGCCTGTCCACACTCTTCCATTGTCTTCCAGTTCAGGCAGAGTCTTGTTGCCACAGCAATCATCTCTCTCTCCCTTTTCTGCTCAAGCCATGAAGCAAACTCCAGGCTGGGAGGAATCCTCAGCCACTTTTGCCTAAAGGAAACAGTCAACCGTGCCCTTCATGGAAACAAACCAAAGATCTCCTGACTGCCATTCTATAGGCAGACCATTCTGTAGGCCATATGTATTTTGCCCAGTGCACATTATATCTAAAAATTGGACCTGATTAAGAAGCAGCACCTTGAATTGGGTGCAAAAACTGCCAGGGAGCCCATGTAGGCAGGCCAAGACAGGGAATATGTGATCATTCGTACAATTCCAGACTTTAGAAAACTGCTGGAGTTTTCCCAATCAGGCATTTCCTGTCCAAGTAGGGGAGAGCAACTGGACAATCAACTGAAGTTCAAAAAAGGTATTCAGAACCACAGCCGATGTTTCAGTTTCTGTAGAGAGAGTTGAGTAGAGGGGCACCCTCAAACGTCAAACTTGATTTTCCAGGGGTCACAGAAGCCCATCCAGGCCAGGTAGACTTCCCTCCATTCAGTCCGATGGATCTCTCAGCAACAGGATTTCCATCATATCTGTACTCAGTTTCAAATTGGCCTCTGTCCACTCCATTATCATGGCTGGGCAGTGTTTAAGGACCTAAACATCATCTTCTACAAATAAAACAAAGGAAAGAAAGAGCTGCATGTCGCCATTATAATGGTGACAACACACCACAAAATTCCCAAAGACTTGGCGTAGTGGTTTCAGAAACTAGCGAGAACGAGTGAGAGTGACCAAGTCTACATCTAGTATAACATCATTTCCTTGGGAAGTATGTTTGTATGCTAGAAAAGTCTTTTCATTTCATTCTTTTTTCCACCTTCTAAGCTGCTCCTTGGTGTTCAACTCAGGCCTCAAGAGAATAATGTAAACCTTGGGAGCAAAGATGCAGATCAAGAGACCCGCACTGGAGGCTACAATAGAGAAGACCTCCACAGCGACCATGTGTTTCCCCTTGGTGCTCAAATAGGTGGGAACAAAGGACCCCCAAACACTGCAGAAGACCACCATGCTGAAGGTGATGAACTTGGCCTCATTGAAACTGTCTGGCAGCTTCCTGGCTAGGAAGGCCAATGTGAAACAGATGAGGGACAAAAAGCTTATATAACTCAGGACAAGGTAAAACATGACAACAGAGCCTCCATTGCATTCTGCAATGATCTCTTCAGTTATAGAGTCCATATCTAAATTTGGGGTTTGAGGCGATGTTCCTAACCACACAGAACAAATTCCTGCTTGACCCAAGGAGCAGGAGAGCACAATGCAGTTTGCTGTCCTTCTTCCCAGCCATTTCTTCATGTTGGATCGTGGTTTGGTGGCCATGAAAGCCGCAACCACGATGATGGTTTTGGCCAACACGCAAGAAATGGCCACTGAAAAGATGATGCCAAAGGCCGGTTGTTGGAGGAGGCAGTTCAGCCTTCTGGGTCGTCCAATAAAGAGCAAAGAAGAAAGGAAGCAGAAGAGGAGAGAGATGAGGAGGGTGTAGGTGAGGTCCCGGTTGTTGGCTTTGACAATGGGGGTGTCTTTGTGCTTCATAAAAGTTCTTAAGACCCAGGCTGTGATCAGGGAAAAAGAGAGAGCAACCAAGGCTAAACTCAACCCTAAAGGCTCTTCATAAGACATAAAGACTACATGTTTGGGCAGGCATTCATTTCTGCCCTCATTTGGATACTTGTCTTCTGGACATTTGAAACAGTCATCCGTATCTGAAGAACAGAAACAGAAAACAGTGGGACAGAGCATAGAGAAATATTGAAATATAGCTTCATGGTCAATTCAAATATGCGATATAGACCTTTCTTACTCATGCTTGTAAAAAGATATTTGTACTCAAAAGGACAGCTGCCTGCTTGTTTCATGCATGTTAATAGTTTGATTTTAAAATGTCCTTAGTTGTGCTATAATTAGCACGATTGTTACATTGCAGCTGCTATATGAGTGATACGTCAGTTTAGATCACTGGTTTAATTAGATTAGATTAATTAGGTTTGGGACCTTGATACTTGGCGGAATGCCTACTCCCACCAAGATCTACCCATGTCACTCATGTGAGCCAGGAGGTGAGGCTGAGGAGCCTGACGCCGAGGGAGCCTCGGAGGGAAAAGATGTGAAACCAGGCCTTCTTGGCGGTGGCTCCTCGCCTTTGGAACAATCTCCCTCCTGAGATTCGCGCGGCCCCTACGCTGGGTACATTTAAAATTCAACTAAAAACATGGCTCTATGTCCAGGCCTTCCCTCCCGCCAGCATTTAATCTAATTTAATTTAATTTTCTCTTCCTTATCTACCTATCATTTATGATTTTTGGTATGTTTTGTTAATAACCGATGTTTTGGTTTTATATTATTATAATGGTATATATCCTGTTGTTAGCTGCTCAGAGTGGTATAAATATACCAGATGGGCGGGATATAAATCAAATATGTCTCAGGAGAAGACACTGAGTTCTGATGCTTCTCTGAGGTTCTCCACGCATGGAGCAAACAGTCCTTGAGAGAGATATACATCCAAATATTATTTCTCCAGTTGAACCAGCTCATGGAAACAATGTTGCCTGTAGCTGCATATTGCAGCCAAAGGAAACGTTCTCAGTTTCCAGTTGTGGACGAAAACATCAGAATCACAGATAGTGAGGATTTATTTCTTTAAAATTATTTTTATGCTGCCTTTCTCCCCATACGAAACCCAAGGTGGTTTACAACAGATTTAAAAACACTATATAAATATCATATTTAGGAAAAAAAGAAATATCTCTTAAGATTCAAATAGAGTTTAGAAAAAATTCAAAATTTTTAAAGACCTGTAAGTGAAAAAGCCCCCTTCACGGATTGGTGCCTTGTCGTGGCAAAGGGGATTGAGTAATTCAGAGAAGCTATGGGCTATGCCGTGCAGGGAAACCCAAGACGGACAGGTCATAGTGGAGAGTTCTGTATGAGAAATCGGCTATATTCATCATATATTCTTCGCTCCATATTTGTAAAATTTTAAATTAGGACGAATATGGCTTGATGAATATTTCCTAGGCTTTATTCGTCTATATTTGTTACCCCCTTTGGGGGCCTCTCTGAGCTTCCTGGCGCCAATTCAAAGCCTTGGCCAATCAGGACAGAGATCCTGGATTGGCATGTCCAGACGCCATTAGCGCTGCTGAAAGGTGTATCTACTTTTATAGACGCTTCATATAAGCTTTTCCTGTCCGGCCGTTCCCCACTTCTGTTCTTGCTATGACGACAAAGGTCCGCATAGTCAAAGCTATGGTTTTTCCAGTAGCGATGTATGGAAGTGAGAGCTGGACCATAAAGAAGGCTGACTGCCAAAGAATTGATGCTTTTGAATTGTGGTGCTGGAGGAGACTCTTAAGAATCCCCTGGACTGCAAGGTGATCAAACTTTTCCGTTCTAAAGGAAATCAACCCTGAGTGCTCACTGAAAGGGGGGATCCTGAAGCTGAGGCTTCAATACTTTGGCCATCTCATACAAAGGGAAGATTCCCTGGAAAAGACCCTGATGTTGGGAAAGTGTGAGGGCAGGAGGAGAAGGAGACAACAGAGGATGAGATGGTTGGACAGGGTCATCGAAACTACATAGATGAATTTGACCCAACTCTGGGAGGCAGTGGAAGACAGGAGGGCCTGGCGTGCTCTGGTCCATGGGGTCACAAAGAGTCAGACATGACTTAATGACAAGTGTAAAAGCAACATTTCTGGGATGACTCACTGCTTAAAAGCCTGCCTGAAGTTGAACCAATGAGAGACTGAAATAGAGAAATATTTAATCAGAGGAAATTTAGCACTGCTGTGGACATTGTGTCTCTTACACTGACATGTTGGAAAACTACTGTGGACTCTAGATCAGTATAGATGTTATTGCATGTGTGTTGTTCCAAAGGAACCATAATAAACCCAAATTCAAGGACTCATTGGGTCTTTTCTTGGTCCCTTTTCCTTAATCCTCTTGTTTTCCCATGTTGGTTTGGATATCACTAAGCACTGGTTTTAAGCAAGACACCCCATCTTCCTGATCCTTATCTACCTGGCTTCTGTGATAACATCTGCAAAGCACCTCCTCTTACAATATCACAATGGAACCAATGACCACAGGGTTTGGATATCACTGGGCACCGGTTTTAACCTGATCCTTATCTGCCTGGCTTCTGTGATAACACCTGTGAAGCACCTTCTCTTGCAATATCACAATGGAACCAATGACCACAGGATGTGGTGAGAACTCCACTGATGGAGACATTCAAGAGAAAATTCAACAACCCTTTGTCAGATCAGCTTTGATTTGGATTCCTGCCTTGAGCCGGGGGTTGGACTTGGTGACCTTTTAGGTCCTTTCCAACTCCATTAGTCTAATGATTCTATGATCACAAGGATCTATTAAGCATAAAGTTGGTACAAGAGGGCACTGTCTTATGACATAATCTGTGGCCACTGATAATATACCAGTCATGACAGTTATTCGCTTTTTAATTTTGTCATTTGACAAAAGAACCTCTATTTTCTTTAGATGCTAGAAAAATTGGAATACTCACCTATCTGGTTTGAAATCTTCCCATCTGGGCATGGAGTGCAATCATAACAACAAAACTTCTCTCCTTCCTTGTTTTTCTTCTGAAAGCCAGGATGGCAGTACTCGTTGCAAACTGAAATGGGGAGCACCTATCCACAAAATGAAGCCGAGTTGAGAAAGGTCATCAGAAAGACAAACTAAACATTCTTCCTAGTCAAATATCCCAGAGAAACAGGGCTGGCCAACAATGATCTTCTAAAGAATCTTACCTTGTTCCTTTCAGAGCCCATTAGTACTTTAAAAAAATGGAGAACAAGTATTCATTTCTCAATAAATGAATGAATGAATGAATGAATGAATGAATGAATGAATGAATGAATAAATAAATAAATAAATAAATAAATAAGTACAAACAATAGCAAAAGAAACTTCATTCACCAAAATGGCCTCCTTACTAAAGAACCTTCCACAGTCCATACCTGGTTAAAGCCTCGGTGCCACACAATTTTATCCCAGTCTATCACAACTTCTTCTCCTTCACGAGCACCGGGAACCACCCTTCCAATTTTCACTTGATGGAAAGACTTGTTGGGGAAGATGACCACGTTCATGACGTCAAATCCACCTCCTATTTCTCTGTTCTCATTGAAGGACACTGTTTCTCCCTCTGAGTTATTAAAAGACAACCTTCGCAGGAACGGGTGAAGCTAGTTGAAAAAGGAAATAAAATGAGTGAGATTGAAATATTAGAAGAGACCGAAGCTAGGAGAAAAAGCCAAAAAATTTCTAGCCATATCTGGTCACGTTCCAGTTGAATATTTAGATTCATATGAACTTCCTCCTGTCTACCTCATCTCACGTATTCAACAAAGTAACAGTCACGTTTTTTCTGAAACATCTGTGGCACCTCATCAGATCATTGCAATAGCTTCTGCTATTACAATTGTACATGTGTTCATATTGATTAGGATATTGTCTTGGGTTTACATATTATTCTTTATGCTTCATCTATAGAAGGCCATGAATATTATGGTAAGTATAAAAGGGCTTTTATTTAAAACACTGAGGAATTAAATTCTATTTCAAGCTCCATTTCTGAGGAAGCAATGGGGGGGAAAATCATAAATGGCATTTATTAGTCATTCATGAAAAAGAAAGAAGAAAATATCCTCTTATCAATGAATGCTAAAGTATTAGTCAAAAAATTTAGAAAGCTTTATAGATCTCACCTGCCAAGGCTGAAGTTGAACAACTGGACCATCTCTCATGGTCTTGTGTCTCAATCTGGATGAGTACACAGCATGGAAAGTATGTGCCAGGGCATAGATGGCATTGTAGATACTATAGCTGTGTCCGGTCAAGTGCATGTCAAAAACAGGCCTGGGAAGACCAGCCAGTTTCTCCTCTCCAGTACATTTTTCACTGTCTGGAACCGTTTCTCCAAAGACGCAGTCAAAGGCTTGCTCCCAGAAATCTTTCAGGAAACCATCTCTTTCATTCCAGCCAGGTTTGATCAACTCAAGAAACGCTCCAAATTCAAAAATGTCTTTTGCATGAATCATAAAGGCAATAGTACCTTCAAACATCTGAAGATCCCAAAACTTTTGTGGTCCTGTTAATATAAAATCAATCTGAGTTGTGGTAATCCACACTTTTCTATATATCCAATACGCAGTATATTCAGGATCTTCTATAAATATAATTGTTCTTAGCCATGCTATTGTCACAGACTCTCCATAGATGATACACGCACTGGCTTTTTCATCAGTTAAAGGTTCAAATATTTTCATGAGGACAATAAGAATTGATTCCTCCATGTCATCCAAATTAGGTTGTTCTGGAATTCTTTGTGTGAACGCTGAGCAGATTCCATTAGCTGAAAACAGTGATTCCATGGCCCGGATAAAATGTTCCCCGCTCTCATTATCTGTCACAAACATCCCAACCCATATCCATCTAAAATGATGAAGCAAGCGGATAATCCCCATATAATGACGGTCTTCATTGGGGACCATGTGATAGAAGTAAGGGCGCTGAGATGTATGAATCACCTCAGGATCCAAAGAGCCATAGGTGAACTATAAGAAAGAGTACAGGCATGGTTGTGATAATATTTCTACTTTATTTGCTTATTTTGTTGGAAATTTCTTATTTAATCCTTATTTTTCTTTGTTGTTTAGTTGTTAAGTCTTGTCCGACTCTTCATGACCCCATGGACCAGAGCACGCCAGGCCCTCCTGTCTTCCACTTACTCTCGGAGTTGGGTCAAATTCATGTTGCTGGCTTCAATGATCCCCTTCGCAGATTGCTACCTTGTCATGGTGAAGGGGCTTGAATATTTCATAGAAGCTATGGGCTATGCCGTGCAGGGACGCAGAGGACGGACAGGTCATAGTGGTTCCGACTAAACGCCACCCACCTGGAGCAGGAACTGGAAAGCCACTCCAGTATCTTTGCCAAGAAAACTCCATGAACAGAAACGAAAGGCAAAAAGATACGATGCTGGAAGATGGGCCCCTCAGGTCAGAAGGCATCCAACACGTTACAGAGGAAGAGCGGAGGACAAGGACAAGTAGCTCCAGAGCTAATGAAGTGGTTGGGCCAAAGCCGAAAGGACGTTCAGCTGTGGATGCACATGGAAGTGAAAGGAAAATACAATTCTGCAAAGAAAAACACTGCATAGGAACCTGCAATGTAAGATCTATGAACCTTGGGAAGCTGGATGTGGCCGAACAGGAGATGGCAAGAATAAACATCGACATCCTGGGCATCAGTGAACTAAAATGGATGGGAATAGGTGAATTCGATTTTCCCACTCTTTTGTTGACTATGAGGGTTATTTCATTTCTTCTATGGGATTCTTGCCCACAGTAGTAGATATCATAATTCTCTGGTCCTAGGGGTCACGAAGAGTTGGACATGACTAAATGACTAAACAACAATGAAAGCTTCAATTTGGTCTCCTAACTGTTAGAGTAGTACAGCAGTGGAACAAGTTACCTCGGGAGTTGGTGAGTGTGTCAGCACTGGAGGCATTCAAGAAAAACCTGGCAGATATGCTTTGATGGTATTCTTGCACCGAGCAGGGGGTTGGACTTGATGGCCTTGTAGGCCCCTTCCAACTTCACTTTTCTATGATTTCACAATATTTACCCCTTTGTATATAAAATGACTCTGCAAGTGGCTTAAGTAGGGAAAACAAAAGGCATCTTTACTTACCGTTGATCTTCAACTACAATCAGGAGTATAAAAAGGATAAATAGAGAGATGGATCTCCCATCTATCTGGAAGAAGAAGAGATCCATGCAACCACATGGTCTGAAGGTCAGTAAGTAGAGAGAGCAAAACAAAGCTACAGAAGGCCAACAAATTGGAAGAGGGAATGGTTGCTTCCCTCAAACCCAGGAGAAAGGACTTTGATCATTGGTTAGTGACAGAAAACCTTCATCTTAGTTTGTGAAAAGAAACCTCCTTCCTCCCACTGAAACTCAGAATCATGACACAAGTTTGTTGCTATGTCTACATATATCTGGAACAAATATTTGCTGAAGGTAATTTCCAAACTTAACAGAAGATTATTGCAGGTTTTGTCGCCTGCAAAATTAATTTGATTTCTACACCTGTATTTTCTCTCCTTCCTGAAAGCATAACTTTGCAGTGAAAATAATGGAGAAAAGGATTCACAGTTGTTTGCTATCCCATATATTGCTGCATTTAATCCTACCTGTGGCATTTTGTAGAGACTTAGGATGTCAGCCATGAGAAAGGAGGTGTCAGAGCCCAGTCCCCCCACAACTGCTTGGAGATTTTTCTCTTTCTCGCATTCATAATTGGGAACAAATCTCTGACAGTTGAAGAGGAGGTCGAGAGTGGACCGATAAGTCATCCTTGCATCCGAGTAGCTGTCAAGGATGTGGAAGCCAAGTGTGACATTCGGCAAGATCTTCGGGTTCTTGTTGATCTCATTGACCGCACAGGCCATGGCCAGGGCATTCTGGTAGAATTTTGTCATCATGCTGCCAAGAGAGTGATTTAAAGATTGTAACAAAAATTCTACAGTCAATCAAGATCTAACACTGAAACCTGGTTATTTCCTCATCTGTTAATACAATCTCTTGTACATCTAGTGAGCTCTGCAGGCTGTTGATTGCAGGGGTGGTAAATCGGGCATATGTTAAAATAGAATTGCAACTTCAGTACTTCAGATTAGTCTTGCTGATTTATGCTGTGCTTGAAAGAGAATAGGGTTCTTTTTATTGCCATTCTCTGTGCACATAGCTTTAAGCTTAAGAGGATATAAAAAACAGAAGTCAAGCAATTAAGCAGATCTTGGAGCCTTACTTTTAAAAAAATGCATCATCATAACAATGGCACGCTATTTTGGATAGGCAGGGAAAATGTTCCTGTGGCAAATTATACAATTATTATGGCTACATTGACCAGCGAATTTGAGGCTCAATCCTTAGGGTGTTCTTATAAAAGCAAAATGAATAATCAATAAGTAGCATTTTCATCCAATTTCCTTGCAAGACATCTGTCAATTTATATACACAAGGCCACATATTTACTTTTCTTGAACTGGAGGTTTGAAAATTTATGGTTTCCTTTATGCTGATGAACCCAAGCACTGAGACCATTAAATAAACAGATATTTGTTCCACGTGACCTTGAGTAATCAACTTATTCTTAAACTTTGGATTTCAGAATTCTTTGACCATTACCGGCATCACTTGATTGCTATATTGTTGTGCTTTTCCTTGGCTAAACAATGCAAAGGATGTGGAGAGGAACAAATACTTACTTTACAACATCGAAAAGGTTCCGAGAAGGTTGTTCCTCGAAAGACCTTTCGTGGAAAACATAAATGATCTGAGTCAGAATTCCCCCGATGAGGAGTCCACCAGGCTGGTACCACTCATGAGGAACTGGGAGAGGGTCCTTCACAGAACAACTCATCGTCTTTCCTTCTTTGCACACAGCAGAATGGTAACTGAGAGAATTGCGAATCTTGAACAGTATCGGAGAGGAACGTTGACAGAAATTGCACATGAATGGAAAGAACAGAGCCCTCACCGCCTCTTCCACCCCCAATACTCCTTCACAGAACAACTCATAGTATTTCCTTTCTTGCACAGAGTAGAATAGTAAATAGAGGACCCAGTACTAAGACAGTCCTGTGGCATCAAAAAAAAAAAAAATCCCTTTAGACACAGTTTCTCCTCTTCTGGATCTAAACTACTGGATCTAAACTGCCTTTAATGAGTAATACTCATGCAGCAAGTCTTCATCAGAAAAGGAACTTCGCTGGCCTTTCTTCACCTATCGACAGATCTATGGGTTGCAGCCCATGAACAGGAGCTGAGATAAACAATCTATTTCACCTCAGGCTGGAAAAACGAGAACAGGGGAAACTGACAGAAATAGAATTGACAAAGCCATCACAGCCTGTTTCCCCTACCACCACTCCCTGTCTTCAATTCCACAGACGGAATTTTTATAACTGTTTTCAGTCTTGTTTATTCATTCTATTCTGGAATACCCTGGAAAGCTTCTGGTGCTTTAGTCTAGTGATCAATTATAATCATTTTAATAATTACCAAGAACGGTAATTGCTTCTTCAGAAAATAGACTCTGAGTTGGACATTTGGGAATAAAACTGTCCAGATATTGCGTGTTATTTCTACAGCCTAACCAGACGAATAGTCGTAAAATCTTTTCCAAACTGCTCATTAAAAGTAACTTTCTGAGATGAAGCCATTGGGTAGACAAAACTGTCCACATTGAAAGAAAATGAAATGACTGCCACAAATAACTACTTCTTCTTTCAAAACTGGAAATGTATGTGCCTCTCAGATACCTCCACTCTCTGTCTGTCTGTCTATCCATCTGTTCGTCCGTCCGTCCGTCCGTCCGCCCGTCCGTCCGTCCGCCCGCCCGCCCCTCCGTCCATCCGTCCATCCGTCCATCCATCCATCCGTCCATCCATCCATCCATCCATCCATCCATCCATCCATCCATCCATCCATACATACATACATACATACATACATACATACATACATACATACATACATACATACATACATACATCACCATTTTTTCTCCCCAAAGAGAGACATATGGTGCTTCATAACTAGTACAACCAAAGGATATAGAGGAACATGTAAGATACAATACTAATAGATTTCTTGTTTAGAGGCATTTTGTAGTTTTTCACTACAGAACAGAATTTATCAATTACTTTTCCATGGAGCAGAGGTCTCTTTCCTTGCAAGCAAAATGTGTTTCCCGGCTGCTACAGAACCACTGACAAAGACCGTCCTATATGCATGTATGAGCAAATGGTCGAATAGGCTGAGCCGGTGTACCTCTGTCCTGATCCACAAACTTGTGAATTCTCTTTCTTTAACCCTCCCCTTCTCCACCTGCCTTCTTTTAGGGGGGAGGGCAGTCTAATTCGTAAAGTCAGTCGCTGGAGTACAAGGTGTCTCTGCCCTATATCAAACAGATTCCAGCTACAGTATACATGATTTTGGATAGAATTGTCTCTCTGTTCTGGCAATGCAAAAAATCTAAAACTATGTAGAATCTTTAAGACAAACCAAGTTATTTCAGGGTGAGTGTTGTCCAATTGCCATACACTTCTTCAGATGATGTTGCCCAAGTTCTGAAGGAACTCTGCAAGGACCATTTTAGTTTGGTCAAGAAGTTTACATTACTTTTCCAGTCTTGTTAAGCAGGTGGGCTCTCTGAGTTCTGCAGCCTCATCTGCATCTTTCTTACCACCTTACTTTGTGGCTGGCTGGCTGGTTGGTTGGTTAGTTGCCTGGTTTTCTATACCACCTCAATTTATTACACCACTACTCTGGCAGGTTTGCAAATGAGACCCGCAACCCCCCCACCAAAACGCAAAAACCACATTCTTGACGCTTTTCTTTATAAAGTTATGGTTTTAATAATTCACTAAAAGTCAGAAGGAACAGAGCCTGGCATACACCAGATGGAAATCTGTTCCACAGTGTAGGGGGCCACAATCAAGAAGGTCCAATTTCTTCCTGTCATCCTTTTCATCTTACTTTTTCTCCACCCTCAATGCAGTGGTTTGGGAGGACCGTATAAATCAGTGGTTCTTAACCTTTGTTACTCGGATGCTTTTGAACTGCAACTCCCAGAAACCCCAGTCAGGACAGCTGGTGGTGAAGGCTTCTGGGAGTTGCAGTCCAAAACTCCTGAGTAACCCAAGGTTAAGAACCAGTGG